ATTTGTGAAGGAGATTAGTATATCTGATCGCTTTGAGGCATATATTTAATCGATAGTTCTTAAGAAAACTCGCGAAAGCATCTCCTTCGACAATCGTTATCGGTTTCACGAGGACGATAAGCACATCAAATCTGAGCGCTGGACAGGTACAGCCAAAGTGCCGGAATGCGACTCAGAGCCAGAATCAGTAAAGCGAAAAAGAAAACTAACCTCCACATTTCTTTTTTTCTTTCTATATAAGAAAATATGGATATTAGTCTTCTTATCGTCTTAATACAATATATGTGGTATTGAACACCCTTTGAATTTGAACCACTTTTCGTGTAATTCTACAGATCTGTTCGTGCATGTCGCAGCTTTGCATGCGCAAAACCAATATTGAGATTAGTTACTTTGCACTTAGAAAACATACCGAAAAGATTGTCAAGTATTTGTGAAGCAGATTCGTCTGCTTCTGATGAATCTTCTACTATATCCATTGGTTCGAGATGGATCCGTTGATTTTCTGGTTTGGCCATATTCCAGGAATGGAATTTTTTGAATGCAGCACAGCGATTGAAAGCATTTGGTGTAGTTGGTGGACATTCTGGATCTAGCGGGTCAATACACCAACGGTCCAAATAAGCTGATCCAATTCCGGTCTGTAAAAAATCCCTAGCAATATTTTAAGATTGTGAGACCTTTGCCTTTTCAGTTTCTTTTGTCAGGAATAGCAAGGCAAATATCAAAAACCCGTTCGAAGAGATTAAAAATTGTCCCGAGGTCGAAAAGCATCGCAGTTTCTTTCAATACTGCTAATGGATCCAAATTTTTCCACGTTATATTGCCTTTCGGTAGAGAACTGATAAATGCTTGAATATCTGATCTGCAACCGTATTTAGCAAAGATGAAATGAAAAGATACTGAATGACTTGTCAGCAAAGTTGAGGCATACTCTATCAAAAATAGAAACGCTTGATTTCACTGCCAAAATTAAATAATCTCACTCATTTCGTGCAATCAAAGCAGTACTTTACTAGTCCGATTATTGGTATATAGGGCACTGACACATGATGAGCCAGTTTGAACAATGAGTGCACTGATTTTATATTCGTTAATTTAGTGAATCTGGTGGTTTTTAATTGTTTCCAAAATTTATTGCACTACTTCTGAACAGTAAAGCATTTCAGTGGATTTAAAAGTTATTGTATTATATCATTATTCTGACAAACAAGCATGATGATTTAGAAAAAACAAACCCTAATTTGAGGGGTGGTGAAGGCCCCAAAGGTTTTGATCCTTCCCAAAAGCAATCAATTGGTGTGATCCAAATGCATGGGATCAATCGATCTAAGATTTTTGTCATTAATTTGGCAAATGGTCCTTGAGGCAAATGTGGAGAAGGTGGCTTGAAACATATATCAGATAAAGTCCAGTTTCTGAAATTCTTGCACATCCTGCTGATAATGAGATTCAGAAAAAGTGGTGAGTGATAATGTTTAAATAATTTGAATTCTTCTCTAGAAGCGATCACTGCAAGCTTTTTTAACCTTTTTAAATTTTCATTTTTTGAATAACAGCTTCTTCAGTAACGTTTACTCACCTTCTGCGCTTTTATTTTAAAATAAAAAATGCATAATTATGCCATATTTAAAGTTCAAATTGAAGTTATCAGTCAGTTTTTTTTAATTGCAAGAAATATTTAAAATACTAATGAGTTAGTTAGCTATGCATTCCTCCCTCTCACTTGGTTTTATAACTATGAAAAAAAAACGGTAATAGTTATAATAATAATAATAATAATAATAATAAATAAGTAAATAAATAAATAAACAAATAAAAAGTAAATAAATAAATAATAAATAAATAAATAAAAATAAATAAATAAAAATAATAAATAAATAAATCATAATAAATAAATGAATAGATAATAATAATAATAAAACCTAATTTTAATATAGATCTTTGATTAAACAAACTTACTCGCCATACATTTCTACTTGAAAATGTGCGATTTCTTCCATAATTTGTACGTGCTTAAGTAAAGATTCCTTAGTTAAAGCGTTGGTCCCTATTACTGCTGGAGTTTGTATGAGGACCTTGAAAACGGTTGCATTCATTGGAAAAATTTTACAGTTATTCATCTAATAGCTTAGCAGAGCATACAATAGTTAAATATAGACTGTATAAAATAGCTTTTCGCAATCGATTTCAGTAAATCTTCATAGTAGGGAATGAAAATGAATAGCGTTACGCTAGGCTTCAGTATATGCATATTAACTTGATTTAAATGCTTAAAAAAGTAATTTGAAGTTTGTACTCCTATTTTTTATATCTGAAGTGGCAATTAAATTGGAACAAATATCATAAGTGAAAAGTTTTTGCAAAGTTTTGATAAAACCTGGAAACGGTTATCAAAAGCATTCTCTCGATTCATATTAAAACTTGTTCCATCTTCGATTTCATTTATAGACACGGAGGGTTCGTTGACAGCTAGAAATAATGTTGCAACACAGTTAAGCTAAGTTTATCTGACACAATGAAATGAATAATCAGGAGTAATCTTGATAATGAACGCGAATAAAAAACTTGTTTGTACGATGATTGATGATAAGTAATTTCTATCATCTTATACATGATAATAGAAACTAAACAAAACAAAAAAGACCAACTTGAATTGTCAATTTTAGCTGACCGCTTCAAGCGATAGCTTTCATCTTGTTGAATTCTTTGCAAAAAATGTAATTCTTCGTTTAGACGTCCACCTTCTAAAATTTAAAAGTAATTTTGAGGAATATTAATTTTTCGAAAAAAAGACCTTCGTAGTTTTTCAACATAACAAAGTGAATGATCATATAAATCAAAACAAAATAAATCAAATGCTACCTTCTATTGAACAGTCTAAAACAATAATCCACTAATGTAAATCACGGATGATAATCCACTAATTTAAATCACGAAGACACTGTTTGAATTTCAAAGAAGTTTGGAATGTTTGGGAATACAATTTTTGCAATATTACATTACTGAAAATAGATTAAAATGAGTAAGAATTCAAATTCACCTTCAACCCATAGTTTCATCAGGTCGGTTTCTATATGCATATACTGGAGTCCCAGCGTACAAATGAAATACAAGCTTAAGCCTGTGACAACTACATACCAAGCCCAATTTTGCACAAATGTCCCCAAAGTGAAAAGTAAAGACTGAAAAAAGGAACGCACGTAAAGTGCAAGGCGATTACCCGTAGCTATACCCTGAAAGAAGTTTTTATGAGCTTTCATTTATTGTGAAGACCGATACAGTATAAAATACAAATACTGCATGACTTTTTTCTGAAACTTTTAATATCAAACAAAAATTATGGAAATTTACATTCAAAATGTTTTCTTTTACAAGATTTTTTGATAACTTTTCCCGCAAGTATGCTTTATCGAAAATTTGTTAACTTGTTTTGTGACCATTTTATGCAGATCTACCTATGAAAATATCTATTAATCCCTGTATGAAACTAGTTGCTTTGGATATGAAACATTATGTACGTAATCTACAGATCAATCATTTGAGCAGAAGATTATCAGCTAATTTTCAAAATCTGTAACTGGCTGTGGAAGAAGTAGAATCCAGTAATTCAAAATTCAAGCTCAAAGTTTTATTAAAAATATTCAGCGCTTAATGAAGAGTTCAAGCAGCGTGTTTCTGTTTTCATTTTGTTTTAGGCTGTTAAATAACTGGTGATGAAAGACAATAAAAGGATCAAACTTGATTGATTTGTTGCAGTGACATATCCGCGTCACACCAAGTTGGGCGTGATGTGAACTGATGATGCCATTGCTCGGAATATAACGCTGAATCTGATGACTTTTTACCAACTAACCATTTATTCAATACCTTAAAAGAACTTGGTGATTTTGAAAATTTCTGAAAAAACCTCCTGTAGTATTTAAATTGCAAATTTATTTATTGTCTTGCCGTTTAAATTATCATAGAAAATTTAAAGATTTTACTTCAATATTTAACATGAACAAGTTCAAAACTCGATGTGGAAATTGAAGTATTATATCTTCCACTGAAATAGTAATATTAGTAGGGATTTGAAAAACAGTGGATATAGCAATTGGTGATTTACTAACTTATTCAAAATAAGGCTTTCTTATTTTTTTCAAATGAAAGCTAAACATAATTTTGAATTCACTACTTACTGAATATTGAAAAAGGCTACCTTCTGCATGAAAATTTTTTTATAAACTGCTAAATGATTAATTTACTTTATTCATATCCTCTGGTACTACAGTACATCCCTGCATTTTTACCAATATTGAAAGCATGGAAGAGTAAAGAAAAAATGTGTTGGAAATAAAAAAATGAGGAATTAAAAAATAGGTAGCATTCAAAGATTATAAAAATGAAGGAAAGAAATTCTTATAACTTAATTACGTTAAATCTTACCATTATTAAATTTGCATGAATTGAAAGTTCCCATATAATTGTGATTCGAAATACTGCAGTTTAAAACTACCCTGTTTATAATAAATTTTTGTACAAAATGAATTCTTTCTTTCCGGTTTGAAATAAACTGATTCAAAGAAGTAAGTTTCATTCACTATTTCTTCCAATTAATTTGTGAAAGAACCAGATGCTTCTTTTTTTTGCCAAACTTCCTCTATTGATTTTTTACCTTCATATATACATACATCCAGGATTCATGAAATGAAACTTTTAACTGTTGTAAGAAGACAAATTTTCTGGGTGATTTCCGGATCTTCCATTTTTATTACAAAATTTACTTTTATTAGATTATGTCAGATTTATGAAGAAGGGATTTCATCTGCGGTTGTTTAATAGTTCAAAAACCATTAGTGGATTTCAAAGCTTGGTGCGCAGATGAAAAATAGAATTTGAATTCTTGCTTTCTGACTTAACAACGATTGAATGATAAGTATGTGTTGATATCATTTCATCTCAATTTCATTTAGCTTGTTTTTTACCAATATGTATTTCTAGCCATCCTCTGAGTAAAACATTAAGTAAATATACAGTCAATCAAAATGTCATTTAAAGCTGTGGAAACTTAATCGCATGTCTCAGTTATCAGTGTAACATTATTCACATGAATTGCTAATGCTCGCAGCAAACAAAAGATTTATTAATAAATCAGTTTGATCAAATTAAAGTTAGGTAATGATATTTATGCATTTTAGTTAATTTTTTGACTATCCTCTGAAAACTTAATTAGATCAATGCTTTGCAGCATAAATTGTTATGCCAAAGGTACAATTAGTATTACTGACAAAGTGGAGGTGAAATTATTAAAAAAAGATAGTAACAAAACTTGAATATACCATCTCTATGTTTTTCTGTAAATATTACTATGAAGTAAATAAAGTGATATGATTTTTTTATAACCAAAACAATCAATGGTTAGGCGTAAGCTGTCAAGTTGTAACTAATTATTTAATATTAGTTTATTAGTTAAACAAAAAGTTTCATAAAAATGGTAATTTATCACATTTATGAAAGTGCTGCTTTTCCTTGAATTATGCAAAATTACATGTTAAAAAAAACCATGTTCAAAGAAATAGCATAGTTAGTGCGACTGTAAAGTCTTTCAGTGATAAACTTGATTTTCGGGAGAATATTTATTGAGATGATTCTATAAGTCTTGTTTGTTAATCTCCGAATAAGTAGCATCAAAACTTACATCATAAACAGGATTCAAAGATTCTTTTAACGATGGTTGACGCCCTTCTGTGTGAACCTTCATTGTCACTGTAATGTTTGTTATAATTATGCTGTTCAAAAAATTCCAGCTCGTATGTTCTAAACCAAAACTGAGCAAAATAAATAAAATGGCAAACGCATGGTACTTTTATTTATTTCAGAATGCTAAATTACACAGTAACGTGACTTGATTCAGTTTATGCTAACGAAATATTGAAATAATAATTAAATACAAAGTAGCGACAATGAAGTTTAATATGTGCATATGCGTTTGTCCTGAAATGCAAAAAAAGTATGCTCAAATTTTGCTAGCAAAATATATTGTTTATTATTAAACTTCCAGTAAATACTATAATGTTCGGCATCAAATTTTCAAGGAAATTTTAATTAAATTGTAGAAGGACAAATTAATTTAAATAAAATGAATACACAAACAGAATAACAAAAATTGTTAATTAGGTGGTAAAATACTCAAAATGTTAATTGAAATTCTAACAGTAGAATTGCTTGTCAAAGCTCTAATTATTAGGTTACAAATTTAACGAATCAAGTGACATTTATTATTATTATTATTGCATATTACTATGGGTACGATTTTTACTACTGATCATAAAATTGTTTGCCAATGGGATGATTGGTACTGACAAAGTGAACGTGAAATTATTAAAAAATTTGAATATACCATCTCTTTGTTTCTTTGTTAATATTACTATAAATAAATTAGACAAAAATCTACATCAGCAGTTGTAATATCATGATGTGTATGATTATTTTACTACTACCGCTATATTTTAAGTTTTTGTGGAACTTTAGTACTGGCAAGCACAGGGAGAATGAGATATCTGAATTATCAAACTACGAACTGCTTATTAATTTGGCAATTTCCATGCACTAATTTAGGAAATTCTTACAAGTAATGAATGGTTGAGCATGACGCTAAAAAGGAATTTGTTAAATTGTCATTAAATATCAGTTTAAGAAGTAAAAGGAATACAGATATCATTAATTTTAATACTTCAATCAGTAGCTGAAAGATCAGTAGCACTGCTGTTTTGAGATGCCACTGTTGGCTTACATCGTTAGCAACTTTTTATGGTCTCATTTGTTTTCAGTATATAAATTTTTGACAGTAATAATTAAATTACTGTTAGAAAAAGTAAAGAGATATACTGACACCATAAAACTAAGTACTGTTAAGAATACTATTTCACTCAATTTTTGTCCATTATTATTTTTGAAACTGCTGCTCACTACATTTAATCAAGCTTTGTTTGCTATGTACTTGCTTATTTATTGCAAGTAATGTATTTAATAGAGAGAAACAAAATTCACAGCACAAATTTTGTTTTGTCACCGAAACAGAATATAGAAGTGATTAAAAAAATATTTAAAGAATGGAATAATGATTAAAATACTTAGCTTCGTTATAAGTCAAAATTATTAAAAGTAGCGAAAGAAACTGCAAAGAAAGGTTAAAGGTAAATTTTAATTAAAATAATTGCGTGATCAACCAACCAATAAATAATTCAATAGCAGAACACAACAGAGGTAAAAAGTGACAAATGTAAAAAAAAACAAGTTTGGAAAGGTGATAAGGGAGGAACAAACAGTTAGAGAATTAAGTGAGTAAACTGATTGTAAACTCTATTTTCTCCAATTGCCTTTTAGTTTTGTTTTCGGTTCTGATTTCCTTCACATCAATTACATCGATTTTCATGACAAGTATTAAGCCCATCAACAATGAATTACTTTTAACGAGTTATCAACAAATTTGCAGATAATATTTTGGATAATCTTTAGAAAAAAAATGCGTTAGCAATAATGGCAGTTACAGAATAATAACAATAATGTTGCACATGATAATTAATATACTAAGTGATGATCGCACAATATTTTTCGACAGTAAGGCATGTATTATAATAGAGTTTTTTGATACGAACACAATTAAATTTTTAATTAGTAACTTTTTCAAACTCCAAAATGGAATAAAATTGGAAAACTTATGTCTGTCATTGTGCCATCCTTTTGCTGCGCCATTTCATGATTAATTTATGGATGATTCGGTTGCTCACTTTTTCAGTTTAAAAAGTAACTTGTAGAAAAACGTGTGAAGGTTTCCCTAACTGACTAAAATCATGAAGCAATCTTAAAATTTTCGCTAAACAGACAGATAAATGGTAAGACAAATATTTCAGGAGACCAACTGCAAACTTCCAAAAATTTACATCTGAAGTGAGATTATGAATGTTTCATTGGGAAAAATGATAACAAACTTTTCCATTTTATTTTCTCAGCATTCTTAAAATTGCGCAGTAAGATTACAGAAAGATTGCTTGCTGAAGATTATTTCACTAAAGAGGTATTAAATGAAGTTAAAACTGTTATATCAAAAAAAGAACTGAACTTGTCTTTTTCATGATTAACGTAATATAAAATGAAATGTGTAAATGACGACAATAGTGATAGGACAAGTTTGTGCGTAAAGTGAAAAGAAGAAAGATTGGTAGGAAACAGGAGAAAAAGCATGGTGCTGATGGTTTAACCAAAAAGAAAATTGCTGATGATGAAAGGACAGGGATGAAACGAGAGAAAACTGCTTGAGGGTAGGTAATTTACCTTTTTGTGATTTTGATAAATTTTGTTTGAGTCGAAATTGTTGGTGAGGGCAAGAAATGCCGCAGAGAGTAGTGAAGTGTAGTGGCTATGGTTGCTTGCAAAACTTGGAATGGTCGGTGATTTTCTCAAAAACTGGTTGATAACAACTTGCTAGTAATTGTGGTGATGCATGATGTTGGAGCGATCATGCTAATGTTCCTAATAATGGTAATAAAGTTTGGTAAGATGATAATGATGGTTCTTATCATTTGTAGTTTCATGATATGATAGTGATGATGAAGATAATAGGATTGTTCATTTTCATCATGGTGATGAAGCTTGAAATAGTGGGAATGGCAGTGAGTACAAAGGAACATTACTCAATTAAATAACAAACTTTTGTTAACGCTTCTGCTCAAATAAGTGCGCGATAAAAATAAGGTAGATTGAAATAACAGAAAGGTATAAAGAAACAATTGAACTCTGAAGAGATGGTATTTGTATGTTGAAGTTGCACTCATGTTGCAGTGGCAAAGAAGATTGCTGAGTCATTCTAAAAAGCTAGTTAGATAATCATAATCTCTCTTAACATGAGGATTTCCATATCATTGTAATCACTTCACGATTTTCGTCTTCGGCTTAATAATCAAGAATAATCCAGCATAGAAACCAAACAACTGAAGACTTCGTTCATTTTAGTTTTAAAAAAGTATCTTAAATTTTCTCATACTTCATTAATCTCATTGAAAAGTATGAGTAGAAAGATTCTTAACTCTGCAACACAAATGATTGTCACAAATGATCAATATTTAATAACTGATTGTTCATGGGCAAGACATGTAATAGTTTTCCAAATTCATTAATCATAATTTTTAGCCAACAAAATGGATGTGATTTTTGGGCGACAAAAAGAACATTAAAGGTAGATAATAATGATAATGAAATACTAAAACATATTTTGAACAAATAAACGCCGAATCTGACGTAAGAT